GGAACCCGGAGGAGGCCTAATCTGTGTGATCTAATGGGTCTTTGGGAGGTAATTTTGACGGAGAGCCATAACATGGGGAGGATGGAATTAAAGGTAGCCCTCACGACATCCATATGAACAAAACTATGAAAGATGGACTTATTTCATTTAATTATCCTTATTAATTACTATGTTCATAATATCAACACCTCATAATTGGCAAGAAAAATTGCTTTTGGTTTTCAGCGATCAGTGGGCTGGCCTAGACCGGCTGAAAGTATGAGGGGCAGAAGAAGGAGACCTGGGTGTTGCACTTGGTCCATTTCTGGACTATCGTGTAGTCTGGGCCCAAAGTATGGCTTCATAAAACATTGTTGGAATAAATCATGACTCAAGGTGAACTGGGATACGAGCAGAACAGGAGCCAACATCTTTGTCTTCAACTTGAGGTCCTACAGTTGGTTCCTCCTCTCCAATCAAGAATGACCGCCAGAGCATCTTCAGGGTCATCTTTTTATCGAGATGGAATCGCCAACCTAGAAATGAGGAGAAAATTCCTGATAGTTCAGAACAGTTATTCGGTGGAATGGCTTGCCTTCAGAAGTTGTAGGTGCTCCATACAGAGAACTGTCTAGGGTGGCATAACATCTCCTGCATGATGCCAGGGAGTTGGACTAGAAGACCTCCAATGTCCCTCGCAGCTCTGTTCTTCCATTAATCTGGTTGAAGTCTTGTTGCCTTTTTAGATGTTTGCAAGGCGGGGACTTCATTCGATTCCTCCTCAGGCATGACACTTCCTAGGGTTGTTTTTATTTCTCTTAAAAAATCTCGTGATGATCTGGATTCCATATGGCTTAACAGTCATGGAGGAGGGGGGAAAATAATATTACATGAATCAGGAAGTTCTTGAGGGAATCACAAAATGAGAATCCCTGCCTATCCCTCAGAGCAACATGAAATAATAATGTTCCTCCTCTGTTTGGAATGGAAGAACCATTACAAACGCTAGTAATTACTAGAAACAAATATGTGGTTTGTTATTGCTGGTTTTACAGTTTCATTTTTAGGAGCAGATGCTACCAAAAACACAGATGGTGAAAGGGAGGCAGAAAAGAACAGGGAGAAATCACATTCTCACCTGTACATGAGATAGCTAGGTCAACTTTGGAGAGGGACAAGAAGTTATTACCACCTGTCAATCAAAGCACAGGAAAGTGTTGCTTTGATTCTGCTCTCAAAAGCTAAATGCTTAACTCAGAAAGTCTTAAAGCCCTACTGTGGTTTTAAATAAGGCTAACCAGCCAGGTGTTCTGACCAGAGATGGTATTCAGCAGATTCTGACCAGTTCTGGAGAACAGGTAGCAGAAATTTTGAGTAGTTCAGAGAACCGGTAAATACCGCCTCTGAGTGGCCCCGCCTCCATCTATTCTCTGCCTCCTGGGTCCCAGCTGATCGGGAGGAAATGGAGATTTTGCAGTAAGCTTCCCCTGGAGTGGGGAGGGAATGGGGATTTTACAGTATCCTCCCATTGCCACAAAGCCAAGCCAAATGGCTTCTACTGTACAGCGCTGTGGAGTTGCCCTGGTAACAGCTTCACAGTACTTCACAGAGGGGCTCCCTCTGGTAAGGGGGAAAATTCAACATTAGAAATTGCAGCGACGTTCATGGAAGGAGGGTTGGGGTCAGAGGTGGGTGGCTCCCGGTTCGGCATGCACAGAAGCTTCTGCGCGCGCGAACACGAGCAAACCGGTAGTAAACCGGTTAGGAACCCACCACTGGTTGAGATGGATAAATACCCCGGCAGCACTGGGTTAACAGCTAGTACAGAAAACCCCTGGCAGGCTAGTTTGGAGTCATTTGTTTGAATTCACCACTTATGTCCTCCGGAAATAAGATTTATATCAGAGCAAACATGAATCAGAATAGCTGGTCTTCCAATTCTGATTCACAAGATGATCATTCTCCACTTTTGTGGTTGGTTGGTTGGTTGGTTGGTTGGTTGGTTGGTTGGTTGGTTGGTTGGTTGGTTGGTTGGTTGGTTGGTTGGTTGGTTGATATGGACGTTGGTCATCAAAGAAAGAAAGCTCTGGAGTTGCAAATAGGGCAGCCAATGGATTCTTTTATCTGTGTGTTTTCTTTTTCCTCTCTGTTATGAAGCCTTAATACCTCTATTGTCTTGATGCACAAGTGCCTTGATCATACCTTAACAGGGAAACGTGAGATACATAAATGGAGCATTTGTAAATACCTCCTGCTTTTCTTGCAGGTAGCCCTCCAGCTACAGGTACCGGGACGCTGCAGATCACCTTGGAGGATGTGAACGACAACGCCCCTTCTCTTTACCCAACGGTAGCCAGCGTTTGTGAAGATGCGAAGGATGTGAAAGTTGTCTTTGGTGCCTTAGATAAAGACATTCACCCCAAGCAAGAGCCCTTCAAATTTGAGTTGAGCAAGCAGTCAGGTCAAGATAAAGTATGGAAGCTTACCAGAATTAACAGTAAGTCCCTTAGAAATGGCCAAACTTTCAACATTGTCTTATCCTTCACTTACAGTTGTCCTTCTCCCTGAATGTATAAATCAGGCTGGGTCCCGTCTGTGTGAACCACAACCTTCAAGGAGGCCCACACCACATCCACAAAACCAAGGTGGTGGCCACAATGTTGCAAATGAAGTTCCACCTGGGTGTGAGACACGCCTAAGAAGCAGATGGAGCCTCAATTCCATCCTCATGGCCATCATTTTGACCGTAATAATGCCGGGTTTCTCGGCCTCAACAACTTGAAGATGTGTGAACTTCAACTCCCAAAATGCCACAGCCAACATGCTCACTGGAGGAATTCTGGAAGCTGAAGTCCACGCATCTTCATGTTGCTGAGGTTAAGAAGCACTGGTCTAATTCGTGATTCCCTAGCGCCAATTTTTCAAATCGGTGAACTGTTGTTCTCAATATAATCTGTTTTGAGTACTTCTTCTTAAGGAAGGTCCAGCACCTGCTACATACAGAGGACACCGCTTTTCTGTAAATTCTGAGAAATTCAGAAATAAAGATTAGAAGACCCTAGTCCTTAACTATCTCTTCCGTTTGCCCAAATAACTCATCACACCCAGAAGTTGCCGTGGTCGCCAATAGTTCTGAAAGGACTCTGCAGTGCAGTGTTCCATAAACTTTGTCATTTCCTCTACAGAAAATGAGTGTTGTGAGAGGCCGAACTGCACAATGCATTGCGGTAATTCCAAACACCCGGGGCATTTACAGAATCACAGCTGCAGATATGGTGGCACCCATTTCCTGCCACTGGATCCCACCCTCAATACTCATTTTGCCACTAGCTTAGTTACCTAAGAATGAAGTTTNGCTTCCAATTCTCTTATTCTATTATTCTGTTTTCAATGATGATATTATTGTGAAAGCAGATACATGATTACAAAGCGTATGTGTGGTTTTGTGGTTCAAGTGTTGAGCTGAGACTAGGAAAATTCAAGTTCAGTACTTGACCACAGAGCTCCCTTTGAGTCACTCACTCATTCAATGTTAGTCCAACCTGTATCACAAGCTGATTGTGGCAAGAATGTCACTCCCAATCAGTGCTATCTTTAACTAGAAGAATGGAAAGATTGGGATATTCAACAATAAAAACAGAATAATAATTTGGCACAAGACATTTAATTAGTCCTTGTCTAGCGCCATTCACACGTTGTGGATAAGCCTGTTGGATACCTTAAGTAGGTTCCGGCAAGACCTGTTGAAGAAGATAGTCCATCTTGAAAACCATCTCATTGGCTTGGATAGGACACCGGCTTGGGACAGTTCTGATGCTGCCTTTGATCTCGTATCTGAAAGCTTAGCTCAATGGATGGATGGACACAAAAAAGTGAACTACTTTCTAGGAATCCTACCCACCTCGTACTGTGATTTCTGTGAGTTCTGAGTCTGTCCTTTAAAAGGTGAAAAGACCAAAAAAAACCCACCAAGATGCATTTTTTGAAGTGCTCAGAGAAAGTTTAATCCCTACAGCTACTTCCTTCTACATCTAGAAAAACCAACTCAAGCATGAAAAAAATGGGACATTTGACCCTGGATTTGCTGATGTTTTTTCTGTCGGATTTTCTAAGAGCCCCAGAATTTTGTTTTTCAGGATGGTTCAAATCTGGAGGTTCAGTTTGGCCTCAGTTATAATGAGTCACTCAGGTCTGAAGAAGTTTCTTGGAGGAGAAGCAAAACATTTTCAGAGAGAAAGTGAAAAAACCAAAAAAGGCCAAATGCCTTTTGGAAAAAGCACCTTTGGGACAGGGGTGAAATGCTACCGGTTCGGGCCGGTTCACCCAAACTGATAGTAAAAAAAAAAAGGCTTTTAAAAAAGTAAAAACAAATTCAGACAATCAGCTGTGCGACTATCAGCCCATGCCACGCAATCGCCGGAACTTTTAAAAACTTTTTTTAGCATCTTTTTACTACCTATTCGCCCAAACCGGTACTAAAAAATGCCTTTAAAAAATCAGCTGTACCTGATTGTCTGTGAGGTTCCTTCCTGTTGCAGGGGCCATTTTGTGTGAAGTCCAGATGCTTTTACATTGTGAGTCAGTTATGCAGCTTTTGTGTTATTTTTGTGTAAAGTGTGATAGTTGGTTTTTGAGCTCTCTAGGAGGTTCCTGCTTGTTGCATGGGGCTATTTTGTGTGAAGTCCAGCTGCTTTTACATTGTGACATTGACCTGGCCACACCCACCCACCCAGTCACATGACCCACTCTGGTCACATGCCCATCAAGCCATGCCCACCAAGCCATGCCCACAGACCCGGTAGGGAAACTTTTTGAATTTCACTCCTGCTTTGGGACATCAGCAGGTAAGAGAAACAAAAATTGAGCCATGATGTAAACCTGTTCTGACCCCCTCCTCCGTCAAGTAATGAATGCCGAGACAAGCTTAACTGTAATGTCCTTTAATAGCAAGACACCAAAACCTCGGTGGCTGAAAGCCAAGCAGAACAAACAGATAAGGACCTTGGCAGCAACTCAGACAAACTCAGGCAGCAATAAACACAGATGAGGCTTGGCAGCAATTCAGCCTCCAAGCTTCCAGTATTGTCCTGTGACATTCGATCTTGTATTGACTTCTGCAAAGAGGGGCGTGTGCACAAGTAGTAGCTTTTTATAGTCTGGAGAGGAGC